TAAGAGCAATTGAAGAAGGCCAACCCTAACTGTTTTAGTTTTTTTCCTACATTTCAAATCCAAGAAGACGTCGTTTGGATTGACGTGGAAATTCATCTCCAAAAGAAATCTTCTTAAATTTGAAATTCGGGGAAAAACTAGAGTAATGACGAGGAAATGCCTCATTACTAAGAGCGATTTTGGGCGGGGTGTTAACAGGGGTAGATATGGGACTCAAGTAAAGTTAGTGATTTTTTACCAAACAAAAAAAGTTTAGGGTAGAAGTTGGATTAGACCTAAAGCCGGTGATTATGAGGAAAAAAATAAGGATAGAATTGGGACTGGATCAAAAGTTCAAGGTTTGTTATGAGACGAAAAACAGTTTATGATATAATTGAGACTATAGCTAAAATTGAGGGTTTTTTTTAGGGCATTAGGCCTAAATTAAATAGAACCGCGGCTTCCATGTTTTATTCATTTCTAACATGAAAACTGGGAAACTGTGAAACCCAGTCACACACCAACCAGAAGTGCCCTTGTAGCTTGGAAAAAACTTACCTCCATGCCATCGGTGTGTATTCGGTCTTTCTCAAGCCGATCAGTCGGACACTCCATTGATACTCTTAATTCATTAAGACTAAATTGGAAAAATCAAAAAGTTTAGGACTGATGACATCCGTGCAATAGGTTTATTACTGATCGGGTAATATTCCCCCAAAAAAGTGACATACATATCGAGAAAAAAACAATGTTGGCGGAAACACTTTGTTGCACAAGTAGTGTTGATTCAATACATATCCAATTCAGTACCTAACTACTTATTCCCTCGTGCAGACACATGTACGGATCTTAAGATCACTTGTGTAATAAAAAATTCCACGTCAAATGCATAGTATAACTTGGGGTGTCAAAATCGAACTGCAACCCAAACCGAACCGAAAATTTCATGTATTTTCGGTTCGATTCACAGTGCAATTCGGGTGATGGAAAAGTAACCTTTTTTGCCGGTTTAGGTTTTGTTGGTTCGATTCCATTCATAACCTAAACCGAACCGCCGAAACATAATATCCTACGTTCATGGCTTAACTCCGAATTTAAATTCTCAAACCCTAAATTGAGAAGCCCTCTTGTCTCCTTCGAATTGCTCCTTCTCGTCCCCTTCGTTGCAGTCCCATGAAATCCACCACTGATTAAGAAGCCCTAGGTAAGTATAACACAGCCTTCGCAATTTCAGGTCTAGGACCAGGGATTTGGTTCGCCGAGGCAGGGAAGTGGCCATGACTGAGAGAATTGTTGGGGTTTTGAGCTTCTTGAGCTAGATTCTAATGATTGCTCCCTTGAATTGAGGAACCATAGTAATAATCCAACGATTGCGACTCTAGAGGCGGCGGACTTTGTAGTTTGGTCTAGCGAAAGAGACCATAAATGAAGTTAGAGAATTAGTGTGGTATGAAACAGTTAATATATTTAAGTTGGCACATAACTCATTAGCTTAAACTTTTGAGTGAAAGTGAATTGCCTAAAAGGAGAGAGAAAAAGGACATCTTCCGTCATAGTCAGAGTTGAACGAATACCATCTCCAGGTCACAGTCACCAAGATCAAAGGGACAACACATAGGGAAGCATAACAAGAAAGCGGTCCCTTACCTTGTGACCTCTATTTCCAACCTGCAAACGATCCAAAGGTAGCAAAATTCCTTGTCAGGTAAATTTTGACCTGCATGAAAGGCGCACTCGACAAAAGGGCTTTACAAGCAGCATTGCCCTTCTTCACTCGCGTGATATTGTTGGGTCGGCTTTCACCCGTTGTCCAAGATTCTCCACTGCTGCCTCCCGAGAGTTCGGGCCATGTCTCAGTCTGGCACTAATAGAAGTTGCTTACTCTCCTAGTAGCGAAGGAAAAGGGCTAATCATTGTAGGTATAAGGGTAGATTCCCAAAACCAATTTATTATTATTACTTCTTTTTTCCGCCAAGAAGTTTAACAACTTCATCAGTTCGAACCTTCACTGGATCAATCATTTTTTGGGGAAAGAGATGCCAGATATTTTCCAGGAATAGGTGGACTCCATATTTCAAAAGGTTGGCCTAGAGCCAAGTATCGACATGATATGTTGACGGGCTCGGACTTAGACTACCTCTTGACAATCTCCCTGAGTGAAGTTATCAGACTTTTGCCGCGCACTCCTAACATAACCCTCTTACCAATTTTGCTCAATTTGTAATTCAACTTATTGGGTCAAAATCATAGGTAGCGTTGACCAAGGTACATGAGCTGCGAATCAACGAACTAAAGGGTTGCATAATCTTAAAAGCATCTGTTGCATATGCTTTGGAACCTTATAATTCGTGTAAACTTGATTGACATCACCCCATCAAGCATGATTACCTCCTTATAAGGCGGGGGAAAATCGTGCATGATTGACTTCATACTTCACACGGCTCGAGCTCGATTGGGAAGAAGTGACTTGTGAACAAAAGCTTTCGACTCCACAAAAAAAATAGATAATGCCGGTGACTTTCCATTAAATGACAGAGCATATATTAAATCTAATAAGAGTCTTTGTTAGTTAGCAACATGTGAATGTAAGCACATGATACGTTGCACAACAAGTGGAAATGTCTCTCTTGATTTTCTAAAATTCTTGACAGTTGATCAATCATGGTTTGCAGGCCGATGACAGTGGGAGCATTTATTAAGGTCTTGAAAGAGATATTTAGCAGAGACAGTGCATTGATGATGTTACGAGGTTATCTCATTAAATGATTTTGTGCGGTGTGATCAATATTATTGGTGTTAATTTCCACTTGGAGTTGACTTTTTATGCGTTCACGCGGTCTGGTTTTTGGCTGTTTATTGCGAGTTGATTTTCATCTGTTTGTTGTGGCTGAACAATAAGCAATTTGCATGACTTGGTCTAGGAATCCTCCCCGAGTACGTGTTAATGCCGTCCTTTTTGTTTTGAGGGTTTGCTTTGTTGTTGTTGGGTTGCACAGGTGAAGGTCCTCTATCTCGAATGGTATTTTCTCGTGGTATCTCGATACATTTCAATCGTTGATAAAGATCTCATTAAATTATTGAAACACCAAGGCGGACACTATACGGATAGAAGATTGGTTCCTAATTGTGGAATATGGATCTTGTACCCGTATGTGGTCTTGTGTACGAAATATCGTAACACACATTGTATGACTCTGTCTATATCAACACTCCACGAACCTTAACTCTTTCTCTCTCTCTGAGGAGTCATCACTTCGGATCTATACCTTATGTTGTCATCGTCGTCACCGCCATCCCCCATTCCTTTTCCAAGAGACATGGAGTTCATCGCTTTCAAATCTATTCCCTTGTGGAAAAATGGAGCATTTATCGGCAGCGTAAAAAAATTCTACACAAATTGAATTAAAGATTAAAATTACCCACTTTAGGGGCTTGTGGTGACTTTTGTTCTTGTTTGATTGAACAAAAGGAACACACTAAACATTTAGAAATAGTTCGAGACCACATTGAATGAATTAAAAGTCTAATGACGACATCGCAAATTAGCCGAGATTTAGAAATCATTAGTGTCATTTTCCCAAATTATATTACATCGTTACTCTTTCTTTACTCTTTCTTTACATCGTTCTTGTTATCCTTGATCCATTTTACCAGAAACTTAGTAGGTTTAGGGAGTACGCACTTGTTACGTTTGTATTGTCCACGAGCCAAGACATAAAAGCTTAACAGTCATTTTGACAATCAAATTTTGCTTATGCCTATCCTCTAATACATGTTCGATGAAGATGCTGAAATGAATAAAGTCTAATTAGTTCACCTACCAGGATAAAAATTAACATGATTATGGTTGCAACTTTCTTGGCCCCTGTCTTGGTAAAGAACAATTTTTCGATAATGAGGAAGCCTATTGCGTAGATCTAAAACGGGTAATATCACGATCAATTAGAATCGAGTCAAATCTGAAGAGGCTTTTACATGCTTCAAGAGTATCATGCCACTCGTGCGAATAAATGAATAAAAAGGACCCAAAATCATAATTTTCATTGTTTTCCTTAAAAGTATAAATCTACGATATTTCGTGCTTGGTTATTGGTTGGGCTAACGGGCGACCTAACAATTTTGCAACAATCTAGAATCTCTTCCAAATATGTGATTGCATGTACTTAAATCATGCGAGAAATCAAATTATTGCCAAAATGCGTATTATATTGCTTCACTAATTTCAAAATTCCATCGCAAAGCACAGCCATTCAATAGAAAAAACATCGCAGACTTATTCATCTTCGAGCTGTTCAACCAATCACGACACAGAACGACACGTGAACTTGGAATCAACGCTTGCCAAGGAGATAGATACAATGTAGGCTGCAGCTCTTCTTCGCAAAGGACTTGGTCACAGAGAGAGAGAGAGAGAGAGAGAGAGAGAGAGAGAGAGAGAGAGAGAGAGAGAGATTCTACATTTTCCTGTCTCCAGCTCAGTCTCGACGAGACAAAAGAGAAAAGAAAAAAAAACACCACGAAAGATTACGAATCGCACATAGCTTCAAATTCTAGCTCCTCTGTCATTCACAGAGGCACCACAAATTGACCGAGGAGGGTGCCCGTGAATGCGATGACCTGGATTTCGATGCCGCTGCAAGCTTCTCAAGTATACCCAGAAGAAAGAATTATGGAACAGCAAGCATTACAAGAGAAAGAAAAACGGAAAATGAACTCTGTCCGAAGGACAAACGAGGAAAGAGAATAATAAATGCGGGCGACATATATTTGAGAAACCGAGGAAAATGAGGGGCACCAACTCCGCTCCACGTCGCAATCATTACGGACAACACTTTGACCCTTCGCTGGCTGTTCTTATCAGAACTCTCACTCTCTCTCTCTTCTCTCTCTCTATCTCTCTCTCTCTCTGGAATGCCTCCAATGGTCCTCCCTAGATAAACTCCACACGTAGAGTAGAGTTTAAAGTAAACAAGGAAAACGAGAAAGGAGATGAACTGAGAATCACTAGAACGCAACAGGACTGCAAGGAATAGGGGAGTAGTAATAAAAAACTTGCAACACTCGTCTCACTTTTCATCAATCCGCACCAAAACCTCTTTCGGACCAGAGGGTTTGTGAGGGATGGAACAAAAGGGCAATCTAGAAAAAGGAAGAACGTGGAAGAAACAAAGGAGCAAGATAAAAGGAAGAATCACCAAAGGGCGAAGCGTAAAACGGATGACAGGAGATGGGAACAAATCAAGGAGAGCCCGAGACGTTGTCGGACCGGTCGAAGTGCAGGAGCTGGCCGCCGCACTTGGGGCAATCCTCCACTTGCTTCGGCACCATGAAGTACATTAGGCAGATCTTGCAGCCGGCCACGACCAGGACGTGGTCCTTCTCGACCCGTTGTTGCTGATCCCTCGCCGCCGTCGTCCTTGATGTTGTGGAAGGCGAGGACTCCGACGACGATTCCTCGCTATCGTAGGAGCTCTCGTCCGTCGAATAGAAGCCCCCATTGTCATCGTCTTCGTCGACATCCGGCTTTACCCTCGGGTCTTCTTTCGCTTTCGTCCCATTTCTCCAGTCAATGTAGTATATCTCTCCCGTCTGGAAAACATATATATTTCGCACATTTCAGTCGGGAAAATCAATGTCAATTAGTTGTGAAACTCAACATAAATTATTCTGATACGGACCCAGAAGAATGTTCCTTCTACTGGAGAAAAGTATAACAAGGTCAAGCACAGGAATCATAGTTTGATGATGAGATACCCCAGTCCGAAGATATGTATATGCACATATCATTCAGACTATACATCAAGAAACATTACTCAGATCCAGACCCAGTAAAAGAAACTTTACAATACAAGAGAAGTACGCAAGACCGTAGGGGCAAGTCAATACATTCTTCAAGATTCTTGGACTATCCTTTGGAAAGCGAGGACGATGAGTAAAGCTGCAATTGTAAGAAGTAATCACGACAGACAATATTTTTGAGCTAGACCCAGAAAAACATATCCGTTTCTTCCTCGAAAAATCGCGACAAACGCCGCAGCTGACGAGACGAACCCCATACCTTTTTTATCATACTGTGATCCCAGGAAGTCTCAAAGTTAAAACCCTTTTTTTTTCCCTGCCCATTATTCTGCTAATCAAGTGGCGATTCGCAGACGGTCAAAGCTACGAGTTTTCTTTTTCAGCGGGCCTTTGGGGGAAGGGCAAAAGAGGGGTCAGATTCAACGAAAGCAAAGGGGAGAAAAAAGGCAGGCGAAAGACTCGACCATTTCTAGGGTTACATGTCCTACTCCTGAACCCTAGTTCTGTTCTGGTTCCTGGGAGCAGCATCATACGTGGTGTGGAGAGCGAATCAACGAGCGCAATAAATGCATGCAGGGCACGCATCGGGAAAGCCCACCACCACGGAACAACGGGGAAGCGGGAAGGCACGACCCAGGAACAGGGAAGCGCGAGATCTGGAACACTGGCTTTCGCATTTATGAAAAGCTGTAAGAGGAAAGGGACTGAAACAAGACAAACTGATAAAAACCAAAAGTTCTCTCCTTTATTGATACCCAGATCAGGCGAAATTCCAAAGACCGCAAAGAACACAAGAAAAGCAAGAAATATAACCTAGGAGCAATCAATGAAGAGGAGAGAGAGAGAGAGAGAGAGAGAGAAAAGCGCGAAGGTAAAGACCGAGTCTTTAAGGGGGGGAGAGAGAGGAAGCGAGAGACGATACCGCTAGATCGAGGCATTGCTCCCAATGGTAAGGGAGGGAAATATGGGAGTTGAGCTCGAGGGCGGCGTCGCCGTGGCGGTGATGATGGGCCGACGGGGCTAGATCGTCGGAGCTGGAGGAGCGGCCGATGCCGTCGCCGGAGGAGGACGCGGAGGCGGAGGCGCCGTGTCGGTGGCGGCGGTTGAGGGAGCAGTTCTGGAGGGACTTCTCGAGGGAGGCGGTGATCGCGGCCATGTTGTTTGGAGCTCTCATCATCGCCTCCTATCCAGAGAGATTGGTGGTGGTGGTGGTGGTGGCGGCGGTGGCGGAAGAGATTCGCTAAGCTTAGAATTAGGGGATTTATATCCTCCCAAAGAGCGCAGAGAAAGAGAGAGAGAGAGAGAGAGAGAGAGAGAGAGAGAGAGAGAGAGAGAGAGAGAGAGTGTGTGTGGGTGTGTGTGTGTTGAGGAGTGGAGATTGGGGAATTATATTGGAACAGAATCTTGGGTATATAAAAAAGGGATGAAGGAAGAAATGGGTTAGAGAGAGAGATTTGAAGGAAATTTGTGAAATGAAAACAGAATTTGTTAATTTTTTTGTTTCATTTTTACCGATGGGTAGTTTTTCTAGTGGATTAATACCGCGAAAAAACCACATACTTGTACATCTGTGATAAATTTACATTCCGTTAACATCCGTTAAATTTTACCGTCAAATTGTTGAGCTTGATGAAACTTGACGGTTGACGGGTATACTAATTTGAGGTTTTATTCTCAATTTATCATAGGTGTATCAATTTATGATTTTCTAGTGATGAAAAAATTAGTTTGAGATAAATTGGTCGCGGGCATACCGATTTGAGGTTTTTTATGATCAAAAAAATAATTTATGATAAATTTGTCTGAGTGTACCAATTTGAGGTTTTTCGTGATATTAACCCACTAGAAATTTGGGTCATTTGTTAATTTCTTTATTTTCTTTTTTGCTAATGGGTGGTTTTCTAATATATGTACTTTTAAAAAGGATTTTGGGTAATTCAGAGAATCTGTGGACACAATTCTTCTTGCTTTCAAAAATAAAATAAAATAAACAAAAGGAGTGTTCGTCACGCTCGGCCGTGAAACGGCGCGTGTGGAATCCCGGGGGAAGAAACCTGAGTGGGGCCCCCAGAGCTGGGGAGCAGCGTGCTCTGCTCTTCAGATATTCCCCCGGTGATATCGTACGCGCACCCGCGGGCGCGTGTGGTCACGCCCGGGGCTAATTTCGTATTAACCCCCTTGTTTATTTTCCCCTGGGGATAATTAGTTAATAAAAAAATTTCATTAACGAGCGTCTCGGTGAAGCTTGCTAAGCAACTAATCGAGGAAAATTGTATGGTCCGCGCTCTGATCAATTATTCGTGCGGTCCATCAGAATCTCGAAAATCGACCCTTTCTAAATAAGACATATTTAATCAAGCATCTCAAGAAATTTGTTAATCATGTCTTTAAATAAAAATTAAAAAAAAGGGTAGATTGCTATGGTAAAAGTGAAAGCGAGAAGCAGCAGATGTGGTTCGAGAAAACGCGCACGCGATTACCGAAGAGAATGCCGGAACTTTCTCTTGCAGTTTTTGGGGGGGTTCATTTTGAAAGCTCCGGTGCTTCAAGAAACGTGGCACCATCATTTTCACCCTGCATTTTTTGCTTCCGACCGTCCGGAAGCTTAATTGAAAAAATAAAATAAAATGATTTTGCATTATTCTTTTCATAAATATATTCGATCGACGTTTTCAAATCTAAGTTTTCTCTCGGAAAGTAGTACTTGTACCTTGCATGTGGTTCCGAAAATTGCAGCCATAACTATGATCCGCGCTACACCGTGATTGATCCGGCTTAGGTGTTGGAGCCGGGTATTACCGATATTTGATGTAGTGCCTCGGTACGAAATGCTCTGGTTAGAGATGCAAGCGAATCAAGCTACTCGGGAGCTACTCGAATTTGACCTGTGAATTGCTCAAAAAATTGGCTCGGGGTCCGGTGTCAAGTTCAAGTAGTTTTGAGTAATTAATCCAGTTGAACTTGAGCTTTAAAATACTTAACTTGAGTAGCTCGTAAGCTTGATCGAGCGGCCGTATTTTCACATGGTTTGAGTATATACTTATATATGTATACATATGTGTTTGTATATATAAATTGTCGATTACATTGTATTTTCAGTATTCGAGCCTGAGTTAGGCTAAAGCTCAAAATCGAATCAGGCCCAAATCGAGCTTATCGAGGACTCGATCGAGTCAAGCTCGACGCTTGAAAGTCAAAGATCGAGTTGAGTATCGAGTCTTAACTTCGAAGCGGAATCTAGCTTAAGTATCGATTCGACTCGACTCGACTCGACTCGGTTATAGGCCCTCGAGTCTCGTGAAAGAGTACGAATTGGGTCGGTAATTCTAAGAATTTTTAGTTTACACGCTCTTCTACCCCGCGTACGATTCTTAAAAAAAAAATTTCACACTTTTACATCCAAATTCTCATATCCCTTGGTTTGGCTACTTCTCCGGACATAGCATAAAACTGAAACAAAGAAGGAGGGAAACGGACAAGAGATTCATCGTTTGGATTGTGGAAATAGAAAGTCCTTTTGTCCTTTCGATTTTTCGCTTTCTTCCAAGGATGGGGAGGAAGAAAGCGCGGGGAAGCATGTGGGTTGTGCGGTTTGCCAGAACAAGAAGCGAAGGAAAAAAAAAACCATGAAAAAGAACGATGGGAAGGAAACCCCAGACGAGAATGTGCGAACGCAGCAGCAAAAACATCGACACGCACGCGCCCACGCATTGCCCAGACCACATCGTCGTTACGATCTTAACACGACTGTTTTGCGGTAATGTCGGATTGGGATGCCGCGTGAAATTTTTGAAGCTGAGCTTGGGGGGGGTGATTAGGATCACTGCTTTGTGTGGGGCTTGTGGAATCTCCACTGTGCAACCGTTGCCAGTCCCACTGACACCATCTTTGCCCTGCATTGCCTCTCTCTCTCTCTCTCTCTCTCTCTCTCTCTCTCTCTCTCTAGTACTGTAATATTCCTTGCGGACTGCTGCTCTGTCGATTGGGGTTCACATTGGACAGTCTACAATGCATTCATGTCCCTTCGACCTTTCTTGTTTGGGGGGATAATTGCGCAAATGGCCATAAAGTTCGGCCCAATATCCAATACCGTCCCTGAACTTAAAATTTATTCGATGTGATCTATGAACTTTATTTCGATGCTCAATGCCGTTCATAAACTTTTAATTTTATTCAATTTGGTCCATGAACTTGTAGTACATGTTCAATGCGGTCCATGAACCATATGATACTGTTCAATGTTGTCCTTGAACATGGATTAATGAAAGAACAATAGTGAACATTTACGTATAGTTCAGGAATTAAATTAAATATGTACCAAAAGTTTAGGAACCACATTAAGCAAGTTAAAAGTTCAGGAAAAATATTGTACATTAAGCTAAAATTCATGGACCACATTACATATTGGTTCAAAGTTCATAAACCATTTGTGTCATATTTTCCCTTCTTCTTTTTCCAATTCAGCTTGGCTAGGTTTAGTTAGCAAAAGCAATGGAGATATGAATGTAGTTAGTTAATCACCTGTATATATTGTATTAGCTGGTGAATCTTGTCAATACAAAAGGGCATACATGGTATTCATTGATATGATTAAATTGCATTACTTATTGTCCTTTTGCCAATCATCGTTTTCGTTCACAAAAATAATTTGTTGCTTAAAAAAGTTTGAAACACATGGGGGGGATGTTTGGGCGGGTTTTCCAATTCATTCCCTTTGCACACGCAGCGATGAGAAATTGGAAATTATTTTAATGGAGGACTTTTGAAAGGAACATCCTCCGCTCACCTGGCGTGCTTCTTGGGAGAGCTGTTTATTCCCATGGGCTCGCCTTTTTATAACCTTCCTCATTGAAATTTTTTAATCATCTTTTTTAAGTTAAGTATTCTTGCATTAACGAGATAAACCCATTTTCTTAGCATTAATCCATGTGAATTCTTAATATGGTTTGTTGACAAAATCCGCATCGTTGGCAAGGTTGGAGAAACGCGCTACTTGTTTTGAAATAGAGAGTAGCGTAGAAACTTGGGAAGAAAACCCTTTTTTTTAAGGGTAGGTGAATGTTACGACTTAGATGCAAGTACGAGTTATGGGAGGAAAATTTGCAAGAACATATCTTTGCATATATAGGCCAAGTTTCGCATCTTTTGTACCTCATCTTCGAATGGTATTGATCAACAGTCACCAACCTCGACTTCATTTGTGCACTAGGATTTATCATAAAAAATTTCATTAATTGCTGAACGTTTTGTTATGACTCTCTCGTATGAGTAAACTTTTATGGTCACGAAAAGAGGTCAAAAGGGAATCATCGTTCGGGTGGAAAAAGGGAGAAAAATTTAAAATTCTTATGAGGATAAGGGAATCAACACTCGGGGTAGGATTTTATGCCAAAAAGAAAAAAATCCTCGAAAACACACCTTTCGATCACCTTCATTACAAGCAGGTGTTCAATAGTTTGAAAACATAAGCTTTACATTTCTTATCCTCAGCAAGTACAAAGTTTAATCTAACTTTTGCGATTGATGATATTTATTCTCATGTTTTCGCATGTAGGGCTTTGTAACCGGATCGGTTCCACCCAGGAATTGGACCGGATTGTCCTGAAAACCGCTTTGGTTCCCAATTATGAGTGAAGAACCACCCAAAAACCGAACAGAATTTAGAATCGGTTTCATAAAGCCTAAAATCCTATTTTTTCTCTTGACATCTTCTTCTCTCTATCTCTCTTTTTCTCCGTTCTCTAACCTCACTAGACATTTCAAGACACACACACTCTCTCTCTCTCTCTCTCTCTCTCTCTCTCTCTCTCTCTCTCTCTCTCTCTCTCTCTCTCTCTCTCTCTCAACTTACCCTCCTCCTTGCGCAGTCATGGCTCACCTCCATTCATCTTTTACTTTGAACCGTTTTGTTTTTCATATTATTTTACAATAAAAAATGAAACGAAAAAGGTACAAAAGAAAAACAGGTTCTTGGATAAACCCTGAAATTGGATCGAAAAAACTAAGTAAGTTTTAGGACAAACAGGGTAAGTTTCAAATTTCAAAAACCGAATACTCATTTTACCCTAAAACCGATCATCATCCCTAGTCGCATGGCATAACAATAATTTCAAGTCTTGGAACTATTTGCGACAGTGGACAGTTGGGCTTGGGCCGCTGTGAAAGACAAGAATATCTGAATATGGGGATGCCCACCGGATTGGAACATGACAAGAGGACCTGCAAAACTTGAGTTGGCAAAATAGAAGGTAAATTTGAGTGAGTTGTTCTATTTGATGTTGACTCGTCCACAGATCAGATTCT